TCCAATTTCTCTCTGAGCTGTTCTTTTACTTTAGAAATGTAGCTGTGAAAGGGAAGGAAAAAACCAAGAACCAAACCCTGATTAAAATCAGCACCCAAAGTTCTAAGGAAAAAAGGCATTTTCATCTCTGCCTCCGTTGATGTATCTTCTCCCAAATAAGTGAAACAAAGGGGAATTCAGAATATTGGCCTGTCATACAGATCAGAGGCTGAAATCATCCAGACTTTGATGGTAGTCTTGTTATATCCCAGTTCTAACCACAAGAGAAAGCCAAATTTCATCTTTACAACTATTAATTCCCACACATATACGCATCTATCCGCTCTGCCTTCATTCACTCCCCATTCATTCATGACTGTTTAAGAGCAAGCCTCCCTTAAAGCCCTTATTAGCACTCTAACTTTCATGCCTTATCTCTACAACTGGTTCAATCTTCTATCCCATTATTAAATATTCTTAATGCTGCACCATAACTCATAACCCTTGCCCTAGCCTGAGCTGAACGCAGAGGAAGAGACAGTTGCTACTCTGCCAGTAGCACACACTGGGCCTCTATTGCTTTTAAACTAACCTCTTGCAGACCCATGAGCATCAAGGGGGAGGGAGATGTCGCATAAAGCTGCAGCTTCTAATTGAGAAGAAAAGAAGTTCTTTGGGGAAGGGCATTCCTGTGTTTAAAAGCAGGCATGGATTTTCCACTGCAGTCAGTGGGAACCCGTTGTGAAAAGGCTGGTTACACTTTAAGACCAGGATGGGGATATAAATAGGAATCTGTAAGTATTCAATTCTGGCTGAGTGGTGTTTGGAAGGGGATGGATGAGGCAGTTATGTGGCACGTCTTTGGGCAGATGGATGTGTTTGCCTGTAAGCCCCCCTTCACTACAAACCATTCCCTGCAAGCAGGTCCAGGTTCTGGTCATGCTTTTGCCTTTGACATAGATGCTCTGACCAACTGTGGCAGTGGCTTGGTACAAGGATGAGTGGGATTGAGCACATGAAGCACAGTTTGTGCATCTGCAGATGCGAACTGCTAGTATAGGAGCATTCCTGTTGCAGAAGGCAATTGCTTTGTTTTATCCTGTCCTGTCCATCCTCAGTTTGGCTCAGAGAAAGCTAAGACCTGGCCACAGTAGATGTCAGCTAAGGCAGCCAATGTAACCACTCAGGGCTGTTAGAGAAGCTTTCAGGGCTTGTCTCCAAGGGAACACACAGAAAGGTTCAGGAGCAAAGCCAGTGCATTTCTTAAAGAGATTTAAATCTAACGGGGATTGCCTGCAAGCACAGCGTCTTGTACAAAAGGCTGAAAGTCCTCGTATGTCTGTTTAACCTCTTTTAACTTCTCTGCCTTTACCCCTTTAACTGAGTGAGCACAATTGCCTTGCTCTTGTCTTGATGACTTGAGTGCAAAAAGGTGTGTGGGATTCTTTTTAGCTGAAGCACCAATAGCACGTGCCCTTTCCTTAGGCACACAGAGGATATAAACCACTCCTCAGAGAGCTGAGGGTGTTTTGCTTTAGTATTTTTACTCATGGAGGTGAGATGTGAGGGGGTTTAAGAAATGAAGGCAAGTAGCATTGCTGAGCTTTGACATAAAGGAGGATGCTGTGGGTCTTAATGCGAGGGGCAGTGTTGGGGCTCAGTGAAACGAGGTGGTTTGTGTGGTGCAGGTCAAGCTTGAGGGGACTGTCCTGCTCTTTTATTGCCAATGGTGCTCTTTGGTTGGGGCTACAGTTCAGCTCTGGCACAGAGGCCCTGCTCCAACTGATGTAATCACATTACAGGGACTTATCAGGTGGTTGCACCTGGCTCAGAGAGCTCCAAGAAGGCACAGGGTGCAAAAGGGAAGGAAAAGCACCGGTGGCTTATGAAATTGAAAAGCTCATGGCTGCCAGGTCCATGTGCTAAAGAGGAGCTGAGAGATGGAAGGTTTTGGGAACGTTTCATCAGGAGGTAGACAAGGAGATTGGAGTTGAAAGCACTGATTTGCTATCTTTTCTCTGCACCTTGGCTGTAAGTTCTGCCTCTAGGGGTTTGTTAGGTACCTTGGGTGAGAAATATTTCTGTATGTATTCAGAGGGCTCTGCTTGCAGAGGCATAGCATGCATAAGGTAGAAAAACTCTGCCTGGAGAGATCAGATTGAGTGTCCCTTGTATACCCTACTGCAAACAAAAACAGAATAGGGGAAAGGAGAAAAAAACCTAACATGGGCTTCAGGTGAATCCTAAGGCTTAAACTGCTTATGATGCTCTTAGAATTGGGAGTGCCTGGCATGGGAGTTTCGGTAGAGGAGAAAGCTAGACAGCTATGTGCAAAGTATGTAAGGCATATATAACGGGCCATGGTGTCCGGCCCTCAAGTGATAGGGAGCTGGCCTCCTGCTGTGGCCTCTGAGTAGGGCAGGACTGCCTAGATGTTACAGTGGTGAAAGAGGTGTCAGAGCTGCTCTGTTCTCCACACGTTGCCCAACAGCGGCTGTCTGGCCAAAGGCCTTTTGTAAAGACAAGAGGTTCATGGGGAGATCTGTTTTTGTGAGAGCTGCCATAAAGGGGAGCAGAGCCTCTCACCACCACGGACAGCATCTGGCTTGATGTGCTTCCCAACGTCTTTTTGGAGATGGATGATCCAGTGTGCTTCCCCCTAAGCCTGCTATACTTGCAAACAGAATTGGTATTTGCATTGTAAATGTTACTGGGTTGAGCCATTCCTATTTGAAAGAGACCTTGGCAGTACCTGGCTAGCATGCTGCTGTCTTGATGTAAGAGAGGATACGCATGGGGCAGAACAGGGGTTTTCTTGTGTGACCTGCCCGCTGGATGGGAGCGTGTGGCGAAGAGAAGGAGAGGTCAGTATTCCTCTGCAATATAAGACTCTTTCTGAAAGAAGGGGACAAAATGCTTAGACATCTTGTAAAGCTCATGCTTAGGAGACTTGTTTTCTGTTGCTGCTGAAGGAGAGAAGGGGACTCATAGGCAGCCTCGTAGTTAGCTGAGAAGGAAGTTCACAGAATCAAACAGGTCTGTGCAATGCAATGAGTGCCAGTGGTTAGTGTGGGGATACCAGCAGGTCAGGAGTCCTGCTGGCCCAGAGCTCAGCTGGTATGAACGTAGGAAAGCCTGAAGAAGTTAAAGGCCTTAAATGATGCTGCCAGAGAGACTCAGACTTTACTTTCTATCTATAAAGATGGGGCAGTTGGCTCATTTTGCCTTGACAGCGTGCTGCCAATTGAAAACTGGATCTCAAAGGAGAATCTTACCCACTCTCTTGCTTTTAGAGCCTCCTGTTTCATCTCTGCTCTTTCCTCAAAGGAAAAATCTCCATTCAGGGCTGGAAACCTTGGTACCCCTGGGCACTTGTGTATTGTCAGATGCTGGTTGCCAGCGCAATGTACGTCTGGTCCTGTAGATGTTGGTGCCGATTGGAGATGCTTAGTAACAATATCACGACTTGCTGGCAGTGGCACAACAGGAAATTGGAGCAGTAAAATATTTCCCTCCTCACTGCATCCCATTTACATGCTTATAATGGAGGGTTTTAAGACCCTAATGAGGAAGAATGCTCATTGTTGGGAGATGATTAAAGCAGAGACAGAAGGGATTTCAGTCAATAACAAAGGGATGTTAATTACATCAAAGGAACCGGGGGGGGTGTGCAGATGGAGTGGCTGCTGTTTGCCACCCTGTGACTGGGGCTGACCTTGTCCCCCTGATCCCAGCGCACGTGTGCTCACCCACAGACTCCAAAAGCAGCTGAGGTGCATCTATGGGCAGATAGGGACAAAGAAAGCAAAAAAGCCCCAAACAAAACAAAAGTCTCCTTCCAGATGCTCCTTTCCAATAGGAAGAGGGATCTGAATAGGTGCCTGGAGAGCAAAGCTTGCCTCTGTCTGCCTGTGGGGAAGTAAGCAATATTCACAGCAAAAATGAAGGTGCTCAGGAGAAGCAAAGAGAGAGCAGAAGGGCCCTGGAGACATGGTTGAGAGCACAGCCTGTTAGGTGAGGTGGGCTGGGTAGGCAATTGATGGGGTGCAGATTAAGGAGCTTCTGTTGGGTGCATATAAATCAGAGCCAGCCTTTGAAGCTATGCAGAGGATGCTGTGGTTGTTTCTTCTTTGCCAGCCAACTTCTCTCAGAATTCTGATTTCTGCTGCCTTGCTGGTGGAGCAATGCCCCAGGGAGGTATCTCCTTGGATGGAGAACTCAAACTGCCTTCCCATGAGAGTATAGGGCACAGTGCTGTGCTAGAAAAGGTGTTTGAGGAGATGTACATTTGGTGACAGAAGAGAGACAGAAAGGAAGGGATAAAAGAAAGTGCATGCATATAATTCAGCATAATCAAAGATAGCTGGGAAAAGAGTGAATTAATGGAAGAGTGCATGAATGAGTGAAAGAACAAATGAAAAAGAGGTCTTCAACAATGGCATAGGGCCTAATTTAAGCAGAATAATCCAGCTAATTTCTCTTTAAATAAATGTATCAGCAGAGCCCAAAGTGTTTGAGTTGGTCCCAGTCAAAGCCTCAGTATCAAACTTTCATCTCTTCTTGACAGAGCAATTAAAGGGAGGGATACAGGCTCGGAAATGTAACCAAGAGTCGACTGAATATTTAATACAGTTCCAGGCTTTGAAAGCCCCAACAAACCAGTGGGATGGGGAAAGCTGATGACAGCTTTATCTTAATAAGGAAACGGGGGGAAAAACCCAGGTGGCATGTGTTCTGCAGAGAAGGAATGGAAGCGCAGCACTGGCAGCAGTGTTACTCCAAGCTGTAGCTGGGAGCATAAGCACCTGTAAGTGAAGGACAAGAGGGATGTCCTGACAGCCACAGGGCTGTTCCTGTGCAGCGAGAGGGAAGCAGGTAGAACTGCATTGTGAGGCTTTTAGGTTAAGTTTGACTGGTGCCTATCTCCCTCTAAAATCCAGAGGAGGAGAAACAAAGCATCAGACCTTGTAGGTAGGCTTCCTACCCATGGACACTCTGTGACCAGAGCCTGTGGAGGGGAGGATGCTCAATGAGTGTGGTTGCTTGTATGCCTCCGTTCTCAGCATGTGAATCTGATTTGGCCTGGTCCCTGGGAAAGCAATTAAAGCTGCCAATGTGGGGCAGTCAGAGGCTCCTGAAGCAGTAATCCTCCCCCATTCATGCCTGATTTGCGCTGTTTCTTTGCATCAGGGCAAATTGCAGCACCAGTGCAAAATAACAGAGAGCAGCCGTAAAGGCTGGATGAGGCCGCTGTGATGTGTTCTGCCATGCATTATCCATGCAGAGGAATTCTGCCTCGGGACCAAATCAAGAATGGATCCCTATCATCCTTGCTGCCTGGGTGGGAAACGGGCAGCACCTTTCCAGACTGTCTCCTTAGATGCTGCAATAGCTTTTCCCAAGCTGTGTTCAGTGAAGAGCGAAGTGGATCTTCCCACCTCTCCTGTCCTATCTCAACGTGAGCGCTGGGGGTGGATAGATGGGCTTTCTGTTTGCCCAGTACTGAATGACTGTGAGCAGTGATTAACAGCAGGTGGTTGAGGACTCTGGCCATGGGGTCTGCACCCTTCAGAGGCAGCAGAGGTGTGTATCTTGCCTCCCTGGGGATGCAGTTTGGGAAGCTCTGCTGTGTTACACTGGTTGGAAGCCTTTCCCAGCCCAGCAGGTGCTTGTTGTAGCGAAGGAAGTGTCATTAGCTCCAGTGAGCCTTGGGAATGAATGACTGAGAGTGAATCAATGGGAGGTTTTAGCCCTTGCACAAAGCCTAATTTAGAGAGAGCAGTTCAGCCTAATGTGCCTGAATAGCCCAGGGTGATCCCACTCCTCTTGCTGTTTGCAGGGAAGATTCTGCTTGCCAAAGAAGTTGCCTTGCCCGTGAGCACAGCCTGTGTGCTGTGTGTGATCTGAGACTGGGCCCTGAGACACCCGGAGGGGAGCTCAGCACTGGGAGGAGGTGAAGGTGAGCTTGTATGGGAGGAGAGGAGAGCTGGTGAGTTAGCATACAGCTTAGCTCAGCTGCCAGAGCTAAAGCAACTCATTAAAGGGATTAGGCACCATCCCTGACTGGATTTAGGACGGTGGCTGTTGCTATCAATAAGTAATCCTATCTCCAATCCTCTCTGGTGGTTTGGGGAAGACAGACAAGAGGGGAAGGATGGGAGGGACAGTAAGAAATGAGAGGGATAAATTAAGGGCAAAATCAACCCTGAGAGAGGCTGGCTTGCTGGCTAGCCAAGGAGCAAACTATTCTAGCTCCCTGGGCTGGGGAGAAGGCTCTGTGCTCTGGTGAAGAGCCAGGGAATGATCAGTTTGCAAGTTACTGGAACCCCCGACTGTTTCACTCTTTTTCTCCCTCCCCAGAGCTGGAGGTGCTTCACTCCTGCAAAGGATGGCATTGCAAAAACAAGCTCTGGCATGGGACCCCCCCCTTTGGCTTGCAGCCATCCAAGTTCAACCCGCTGGAAGAGGATTGTGTTGTGCAGTGGCTGGGGGATTGAGTTTTGATTAGCTCTGACACAGTCACTTATAACCTTCTCATTAGAAAATTATGTTTAATAGCAATTGTGCTGTCACCTCAGCAGTGTTTTCTGCTAATTCATTACAGGCTCACACGGTGGGAAGGGATGGCAGATAAATGGAAAGGTATCTGTTCAGGGGGTTGCTGTTTGGTGACAATATTTACGCTAATCAGGCTGCCGTGTGAAGTGACTGGAGAGCAGGAGCACAAAGGAGAAATGCTAGTGGCAATGATTTCCTTGCACCCTGGGGGAGAAGAGGTGCATCAACCCAGTGCATGCAGCAGGGAAATGTAAACCAGCAAATAACAGACCACCGAGGTACAGGGAGCTGCTGCTTGTGCTGGTTCCACAAGGGTGGTGGGTACCAACAGCAAATGCTACACACGGGGGCTTAAAGCCCAAGAAGCATCCCCAAGAAACTTCCTGCTGCTGACCTTGCAAGTGGCGTGTCCAGTATTCCACTCACATCCCTTCACACAAACTCATCCACCTGCTTGCTGCTGTATCTTCTAGCTACATATTTATTCATACATTTACAATAGCCATACATCTCTTCTTTACCTGCTCACCTATTTGCTAACTTGCCTGTCTAGTCCTCCTTCTGCAATATCCATCCAAACATGGGGTGAATGTGTCTGCTTTCTGTTCTGAATTAGAATCCAATGTTATTCCTTTCTGTGGAACACATTTTTTTTGCAAGCAACATTGTTTTGGGCCAACTGCAATATTTCTTTTCAATTGTGCCTTGAGAAGATAATAGTATAAAAGCTGTGTTCTGAAATGGCAGGTCTTAAAATGAGAAATGAAGGTGTTCCTTTCTAACAGTGTCAAAGCTGTTTCTGCTTTATCAAAAGGGATCTCTACCGGGTTTTTAATCAAAATTTCCTCCCAATTGCTTGGTGTATGGGTGGTGGAGTTGAAAACAGCAGAGCAAGATAGGAAACGTCTCCATGTCATCATCTGCATGATGCAGCCTAGTATCGAAATGCTAAGGCTTACACTTGGATATGAAGGATGTATTTATGTGTGGATGCTGATGTGTCCAAACTAAAATGCTGCTCCAGGTAAGTGCCATGTGGGAGAGCACGTGGCATGTCTGCATGTTTTGGGTCTCATAGAGGGTAGGAGAGATAAGGCTTGGCAGAGAATTTGTTGGTGGCAGCAGTGGCAGTGCATTGGTCACATCAGTAATACAAGGTGCTGCGGTGTGAGTATTTGCATTAGCTGACTTCAGGCTTGGGGGACCATGCCTGAAGCACCATCTATGCCACAGTTCATGTCATCTCAGCGTCTACTTCCATACCTGCGTGATGGAAAGGAATACCATGTGTGGGAACATAAGGAATAATAGTTATTTGCACAACTCTTTGAGATCCTTAAAGGGAAAACCCGGGAGAGATGTGAAGCATTATTATAAGGGCTGTAAGCTCTTTTCAGGCAGTTAAAGGGATAATAAATTCATTGCCCAGGAGATCTGGTAGTATAGTTCAGTGAAGAATATGGTAAGAAGGTAAGACTGCTGGAGACCAGGAGCTTTTAAACATCGATACTGAGCAGAAAGGCAATGTAGCCAGTGTTATCAAGTTGAGGGTTATCTTGGTTCTGGGTTAAAGTGAGATTGAAGGAGGGTGTAAGAAGGATCAGTGTGTGTGTGTGTGTGTGCACACCTCTTCGGGATGATCTGTGCTGTGTGTTAGCCCTGGGGTCCGAATCTCTATTCCCTCCCCAATAGGGTTGTGCAGCTTGGAAAGTGGACAAGTGGGTCCATGGACAGCCGGGAGAGATAACATGGGGCACTTGCTCATCTTGGTTGATAGCAGAGCTATGTTCAGCAGTTCTTCCTTAGGAATCATCAGAGGAAGGGAGAACTCGAAGAAGCTTTTTCTAATTCTAGGAGTTCTGTTTGCTTTCTAGCAAAAGACACGAGCGCACCAATTTGTTGTTGGTTAAGGCAGCCTTTCATAAAATACTGCATGTCTGGAGCTTGTGCTATTCCTCTGATTTGTTATTATTTAATCACAATGTAGTCAGATATTTGGGCCTAAACTCTCATTTGAATTTCTTTGGCTTCATCTTGTAGTCGTTGGATTGCTCTAATGTCTTTTTTTTTTTGGCGGATTAATGAGGCCTTTAGTACCTGCTATTGCCTCCCCACAAAGGTTTTAAACTTGTTCCAGACAAAGCACTTCTCAATATCAAAACTTTGCTTTGATAAACTAAAAGGATTGAGCTCTTTATGTCCCCCTCCAGGGAGCAATGCATCAGTGCTATCAGCATGCTCTGCGTCCGCCTTTGGTCTCCACCAGGGAAAGCAGTTATCCAGACACCAGCCCCGCTTCAGTGAATTCCTGCTATATGGATGCTTGCTAGCCGGCGTGTTTTCCTGGCCAGGTAATTTGTGAAGCTCCAGATTTGTGGCATCCTTCGGAGAGCATGGTGGGAAGCAGTGCTTGATTGCTCTCATTGCAGCTGTATCCAGTGGAGCAATTGCCTCTGCCTCACTGCTGCTCGTGCACCAGCTGCTGAGTTACTCATCTGCCTCCTGCCTCTGCTCGCTGTGGAACTACAGACACACTGTTCCATGTCCTTTGAGGCTTGAACGAGCCCAGCTTCCGGAGTGATCCAGGGCTCTTCCTGAGCAATTTTCCCTCTTTATTGCCATATACTTCTCCTTAGATCTTTGGGCTTATTTGTTAAGCAGATTTCGTTAGTATTAATTTAATTCCTCGTATCAAGATTATCAAGGAAAATTGAGTGCAAGCCTAGAAATGTGTCAGAAGCCCCATTTCTGCCTCTCTCCCTTGTTCAGTGATAGTTCTCCGTTGACAACCCATTTCCAAGGAGCCGTCAGAAAGCTGATTCTTAATCCATTTAACATGTGCTTTACTGATATCGTATAGCGCTAATTTTTTAATCAGAAGGTTGTGAGATACAAAGTCAAACATCTTACAACAGCTAAATATATTACGTCTTTGCAGTTACCCTTATCAACCAAACTTGTAATCTCATCAAAGAATGAAATCAGATTTGTCTGACAAGACCTATTTTCCATGAAACCGTGTTGCCTGATGTTAATTATATTCCTCTCCTTTAATTCTTTATCAATTGAATCCTATATCAACTTTTCTGATTACTTTGCCAGGGACAGATGTTAACTGGCCTAGATTCCCTTGTTCACTCTTGTGGCAGTTGTGAATGCGTTTTCCTTCTGTGATTGCCTTCCTTTTCCAGGGAACTGGATACACTTGAGCCGTAATGTATAGGGGAATATGGCTGGGGGAGAAAAGATAGCAACTACTCTGTACAAATGATGGGGAAGGTGGTTTCCTGGGAACTGAAGTGGGAACCAATGCAGGCCCGTGCTGGTTGGCCCTGTTTTGGTTAGGAAGCCCACCGTTTCTGTGTAATGGAAACACCCAAGGACCCACTGCAAACACTCCTGGCATCGTGTGTATTATATGTATTGTGTGCATCCATCCACCTGATCAACTGTTTGCATCTGAGTTTCACTCTGCAAATACAGAGGAAAAATTAGTAGCAGCTTAATCTCCCTATGCTGGATCACTCAGAGGTGTAATTGTGCAGAAAAAAAAGGTATTAAAATGCAAAACACTCTCCTATACTTTTTCATGTTAAATCCCTTCTTCCTTCTGTTCTTTTAATTCTACAAGAGGGTTTTTACTTTTCTCCTTCCCCCCCATGTGTGTATCTGTGCATCTTTCATAAAGAGAACGAGCTGGGCATGCAGAGAGAATAATTTCAATTTCTACATGAATCTCAGAAATGAATACTTAAATTCAAGGAAAAAAAACCTGCATTCTTACACCTTTAATTTCCTCTCTATGAAGTATAATGTAAAAGCCTGATTATTTTTAATTCTTCCCTTTAATAATTCAGCAGCAGAGTGATTTAAAGCTGGGGACGATAATTACCTTTTCACTTCCCTGGTAAATGGAGTTTTAATAGAAATGGAAGCTCAAACGCTGGAATTAATTCAACCAGGTCAGTGTCAGGTCATCCACAGCATCTTCTGTATAAATCATTTATCTGAAAAATGGCCTGCTTCTCCATTTCACAGGAATTCCTACCCAGAGGCTACATTGAAGAGAGAAGATGCTATGTTTATACCTTGTAAAGCACGGGGCGGGGTGAGGGGGGGCAGTGCAATTCACATCATCTTGGATGGATTTCTTTAATGCAAATTAAACTGCTAGTTGAAGGACAGGAGAACAGGGGCTTGTCTAGATTAGGAAAATTCAGCTGTAGCTACAATGATCATTTACTCTGGAAGCTTATATAGATCCCATTATCTGAGCAGTTTGTGCTCCTCAGTCTATTTATCTTCATACTACACCTGCTACACCCATTTTATAGAAGAGGGATGGAGACGAGCGGTGTCATCCAGAGAGAGCAGAGCAATTCAGACTAGACCCCAAAATGGTGACTAGGTTCTAATAACTAACCCAGTATCCATTAAGGTTTTGGGGTGGAGAGGGTGAGCCTCTTCAGCTCAGCCATCCATGGGGGTGTGTGTTGTAAAAGCAAGGAAGAAAACTGGCCAGGTTTGGCCAAAGCTGATCCTGCCCTGGGGAGGATGGAAACCCTTCAGAGCTGATGCACCAGGTCTTTGCTTGGGAGGAAGAAAAGGCTATGATGGCTTCGCTGAGATTCCCAGAGCCTGCACCAAGGTCCTAACATAACAGATTCAATTCCCAAACCATCCCAATGGCCTTGGGAGCTCTGCTGAAACACCCACCCTGAGCAGTCCTAAGGCTGGGGTTGATGCCTCTGCGCAGGGAGGGGACAAGCCCAGCAGCCTGTTGGGATGTGGTCCAGAAGCAGAGTTTGGCTGGAATCAGGCAAAGCATCCGGGGGTTAAATTTTTCATGAGAGCTAAACATAAGCAGCCTGGTCTCTAATTAAGCACTGGGACGATGGAACTTTAAAGCACTCCAGCTCTGATTCGCCACAAGTGCGTGGTAATGATTTCTTTTCAAATGTCAAGCAGTTTTGTTTCTATTTCCTTTCATAAATAATTGGTGCTGAGCCGGTGGCAACACCAGCATCCAGCTGGCAGGAGGAGCCCGCGTGATCCACTTCTAGCATCCAGCTATGCACTGGGGCTGTTGCAGCGCATCCCAGGAGTGCAGGCAAGATTTAGGGTGCTGTTCCACCCTAAAGGAAACAGGGAGAGGGGCGGAAAGAGCTCTTTTGCCTGGGTGGAAATCTGTTCTTTCCTGTTATCAGAGCAGGGTACAGGATGCAATTGCAATGTCATTGCATTTGCAGTGTGCTCATGTCAGAGAAGTGTGGCTGTGCACTGTGAGGATGGAGGATGGCAAAAGACGTGCTCTTTTGCACCCAATGCCTGAGTGCTGGGTGAATTCTTTGCTCCTGTGTTGATTTACAATGGGGGAGGAAAGGAGCATGGTTCAGGCTGCTTGTCTCCCATTGAGCTGCCACCAGGCTAGCACTGGCCAGAGAGCCTACAGGTGAGTAAGTACATGCCTGGCTATGCTGATCTGGCACAGGGCAGCCAGCTGCTCCATGTGAGTTGTCCCCTTCCAGCTCCTCTGCAATGAGCACCACATCCTGCTGGGATGCACTGTCCTTCCTAGAGCTCCGCTGGTTGTTGTGTGTTTTCTGGTTAGACTCTGCGCTAATACTTCTATATCCATTACTGTTTACAGCCACGTATTATACACCATTGCCTGGGGAACTCAAGCAAATGATTGCATTGCTGGAGTCTCAAACTCTGTCGGTAAATACAAATACAGCTTCCAGACACAGGCAATGACCCAATCAGTCATCAAGTCAAGGAGTTCAACTGATGTCTTTTTTGGGGGTCCTACTTAAAATGCTGCTGAAGAGCTGTATGTTACAAAAATGTTCAGTACAACTTGCAGGTCCCTATTTAGACTGACAGACTCTCTAATCTGAAGTTAAAGAATGCCCTTTTTCCTTTCCTTCCTCTCTGCTGTCTTCAGGGGTGGCACTGGCAGTGCTATAGATAAGTGCATTCAATTATACAGAGAAAACCGTCTTGGAAATCAGATCTCCTGGCAGAGAGGTGCCCTGCTAAGGGACATCCTGCCCTTACTGCAGTGATGGCATTGATCAGAGGAATGCCTGGAGTTCTTCAGATTCCCTGGACCTATCCAGCTGAGGACTGCAGATGGTTAAACCCTGATTTTGCTTGCCTCTTGCTGTATTCCTTGTTTAGCCCCAGAAATATCTGAAGTGGGCATGCTGCCTATCTCAAGAGGGAAGGAAGAAAATAAATCAGACAAAATAGAAGCTGGGTTGTTTGCTTAAGGCATGTTAAAGAAGTGTTTGCATAGCCTCCTGCTTCAGCTGCAGGGCGCTGCCATGGCTAATATCTATTCCTTGTTTCAGATGCTTCTTGGGGCCACCCATCTTGTACTGGCTGGGGCTGCTAAGCCAGAGACCTGCATTGTACCCATTTCGCTCACAGACCCACTGGCTAGCTTCTGTCTGTGCATGCCCTGGTGTCAGCACATACACGTATAACATACATACATAGCTATATCTCCCCCATGCCCATGTGGTTCTCCCATAGAGTCCAACCCTCCGTTATGGGAACATGATGGAGCAATGCAAGGGTATGCTTCAGTCAGCCGGGGCTGCTTGCTTGCCTGAGCATTTCCCCTGTGCTCCTTGGTGTACCACTGCTCTCTGAGCCGCTGCTGGTTGCAGGCTCTTGCCCACGCAGGTCTTTCCCCTTTCCCCTTGCAGTAATGATGTTTATAGAGTCACGCACGCATCCGTGCTCCTGCATTTTTCATGGCCTGCTCTCCAGAGGCGGTGCTGCCTGCTAATCAGACCTCACCAAACCAGGCAATTGCTTCTGCTCCCTACTACAGCCGATAATTACCCTCCTTTCCTCGCAACAAGCCCTGACAACTGCCACCCATTGGTCACCAGCCACATGTTTAAGTGACAGGCGGTCCATTACCTCTGCTCATGCAGCCTCTCTGATTAAGTGCTAGGAGAAGGCAGACGCTGCCCTCTTCGTCTTCAGGCAAAGGAGGGGAGGAAACGGGCTGTGCTGTATGGCTGGGACCCAGCCACCAACATTATTATTCATCCTGTGATAATAAACTCTGCCTTTTCCATCCTGTCTTCTTACAATAGTTCAGCAGGGGGTGCTGGCCATGACAGTAAGGCAAGAGCCCTCATCTTACAGCAGAAATATATAAGGCTGGAAGGGTTGTTCTCTTAAAACACCCAGCAAGCATCTGCTGTGTGAAATAATCCCCTTCATTTGAAGGCCTCAGCCTTGAAAGCAATGAGGTAGCAATCCTGCTTCCCTTACAATGGGGTTTTTAACAGCAGGAAGAGTTCTGTGGCACTGACAGATGCACACACAGCTCCCACCACGCACACACACAGGGAATAGGAAACGGGGTCTCTCCTGGGACCCAGAGACGTTACACATACTCCTTTCTCTTTTCATCCCTCCCTCTAGGCATCTCTTTCTCTGTATAAACACAACTGTCTTCCCAGTCATCCCTTTACATTGCTTTCTCTCTGTCTTGCGCACGTACCTCTCTCTTCCTGTGCTTTACCATCACAGTATCTTTGAGTCTCCCTCAAGAGTGCTCCATTTCAACAGGAGATGGGACCTGGGAATTTGCCTTTAATATTTCATAAGCTTCCTTCTAAAATGTAAAGCATATTTACGTTATTTGCATCAACTACCAGGAAAACAAACGCCTCTGATTTGCGAGCAGATCCTAACCTGCTGCCCCTTTTTCCAGGGCTGAGCATAAATAACACAATGTATTCCAAGGAACCCTTTCTCCTATTTACATTTATATTGAATAATGTAAAGCAACTTTCTCCACTCCCCTCAATTCTTCCTTCCAGGGTGGGAGAACCTGTCCGTGTCTTAGGAACGTGCTTCTAAGGGACACTTAACTACACAAGCACACACATACGTTTGCAAATCTGATCATACTCATGCCTGACCCCTGCTTGAGGATGAACGGACCTTACTGAGCAAAGAGACCATACTGTGAGCCCAGGATGAGAGCTGTGAGTTGGATTATACTGCGGAAGAGTTCTCACAGAGGACATGAAAATGCCAGCGTGAAGCAAACCGGCGTTAGTACTCCGGTCTTGCCCAGGCAGTGCTGTTCCCTGCGTGTTCGTTTGGGAAAGATGGAAGAGTTTGTCTCTTGGAGGTAAACTGTCCCTACAGCCTGTCAGCTGAGACAGCAGAGGTCTAAAAATCACCTGGCCCTTCCCATATTCTCTTCCTTCCTCTTTTGCCTGCATCTGAAGAGAAAGATACGAAGGGACTGCATTAGACATCAACACACACTGATGGGTAATGCAACAAACTCAGGCTCTGCAAGCTTAATGCTGGAAAAAGCTTGCAGGGTTCAGCCTGCACAGTGTTAGGGCTGAGCTCCTCCCAGCAGCAGCCAGGGAGACGGATCTTCAGCTGGTGTCAGTCTGTGATAATCAGTGAGTTGATTTAAACCCACTGAATACCACTTTCCCACTTTCATTTCCTCTCTCCCTGGACAGGTTTAGGCTCTTTGTCTCTTATCTCCTTCTAATCATTTATATTTTCATCACTTTCCCTTCCTCAGGGTTCCTTTGGCAGTATTCTCTTAAGTCTGGTTTGTTTGCTAGACACAGAGTTAATGTTATTATTCTGTACTGGCTTCCAGACACATTGTCCATCACTTAAGCATGACAGGGAAGTGAGCCAAAAATGAATCAAGCTATCACACCCCAATGGATGAGGGAATCTCTGTTGGAAACCCAAGCAGGAGCAGCCAGAGAAGAAATTCTACAGTGGATCTCACTACAGGAGTGGGAGTCCATATTGATTAGCAATAGTGAGGGGGGGAAGTGTGAATAGTATCTGTTTACCTAATATAAAACCCATCTCCATCCTTTTCAAGACTCCAGGTTCTCTTTCTAGCACCGAACATGATCTAAACCTTACCATGTGCCCTGAATAGCTGATGATTTTTTGACCCTGCCTTTACATGAAACTATGATGGAGGTATGATTTTTTTCTCCCCTTTAATTCCTTTAATCTATGCTAATCTCAGCCTGTTGGAGCCCTCTGTGTAGCAGACACAGGCTTATTGCAGTGTGTGGTTTATCCCCAGGCAATAGAGGGATCTCCTGTGGCTGGAAAGCCTCCTGAGTTTACCTTTGCTAAATGGTAATTGTTAAGTCGAGGGGAAGCCAGGGAGGTAGAGGAGGGCCCTTGGAGCAGGCAAAAAGGGTGGTAAATTGGCCATGCAAGGTTCACAGCTCCTCTGTGGGAGGCATCTGCAAGCTTTAGACTTGCATATTGGCTTGTTGTATGTTTGGAGGTGTTAGCTTGTAGGCTTCTTATCGCAAATGAGAGGAAGGGAGAGAAATGGCAAGTCATTTGCTTGCCCTTTGGGAATAACTTCTGCAGGCACTGACAAGAATCACAGGAAGCTCTGCTGGGAGGAGCCTGATACCGCACTGAGGAGGTGCCAGAGAAATGGAAGTAGAGAAACAGGCAGAAACACCAAGCAATGAGGGTAGGAAGCTTCTTCCTTTTCACTGCAGCTTTGTTTTGTAAGGGGGAATTCATATGCTCAGCCTTTGGCTGAGAAAGCCCTCAATTCATCCCTCAGGAGGTAGCACATCCCAGTGTACGGACACTCACTTGCTGGGCTGAGACCTGCACAGCTCGGTTCAAAACTGCTCAGAGGCCACCAGAACGGTGCAAGTCTCTTATTCAGGCTCCAGGCAGGTTCTGGGACCCCAGATCAGGAAGTCCATTGTTTTTTAAGGACAGTTTTGACTGATGGCCCTGAGGTGATTTGTACTTAAATCAGACCACAAAGGGGTGGGAGACCCATCCCAAAGAAGACAAGGGAAGGCTATCCTTAAATTGGAGTAAATTAGGAGCCATTTAAACGAAGCCCAAAGCACTTGTGAACTATTTGGATAAATACATTTTTAATCTGGTGTTGGCTCCTTTAGAAACAGAGGACCCTGATTTCTGCTTGCAGTAAAACTGGAGAAGGATGCTGGCAAATCAAAGCCGGTAGAGTACCAGAAGTATTAATCTTTTAATTGAAAGTGGAATAAACCCACCTGCATAGAATACCTCCCAGAATATTCCTCCTCAAAACTTCCTTTTCTTTTCTCAGCCATTACTAAAATCTCAAGGTTAGAGATTACTTATAATGGTACTATTACCGTTTATTTTACTGCCAGCTGAACGGGGAAAATAAACGTAGCTTCAAAATAAATTGCGATTACTGTGTCCACACTTAAAAGCTTGCGATACTGCCTCTGTATTAATGAAATATTATTGACTAATTCTATTGAATTTGGCAAAAGCACTCCCTTGCTGCTTCCTCTGCGCCGAGGCACAGATCTTGAAAACACAAGATCTTGTTTAAATAGGAGTTCAGCTCCTGGCATTGAGCAAACTGGAACATCAGATGAGAAAATGATGAACACCCTTTCCTTCCTTGCCCTTAATCTAAAGTAGTTTGTTTCCATTCCCCCTTCTTTTGTTTTTAGTTCTCTGAAATCCAACCTCCTGGTAACGTTTTATGTTTAAGGGCTCAGACACCCATTTAATTAACTCCATAATTGTATGGTAACCTCTGGTCTTTTCATTCCACAGTCAGCAGCAGACAGACTAAGACAGTAATTTCATGGTTATTTCTCTTTCCCAACTGCTGGGGTCTCCAGGACAAATTGAGATATCCCTTGGAAAAGTTAGGATTAGGCAAAGCATCTCACTCGGGCCAGGTGGAGACTGGTGTACACAGAGCATCTGCACATGCCTGTTGACCCAGCTATTAATGCTATAATGAAGGGAGCTGGAGCTCCCCACACAGGGCTCAGCAGCATCAAGGGCCACACGTCAGAGAGGATCCTTGTTTCTGTTGTGGGAAAAAGCAGCTCTGACTTCTCCTGCAAAGCATGAAACTCTTAGCTTTATTAACTCAAACTTCTTCACTGATACTAGACTTGTAATGCCCACAGAACAGATTGCCCATTAGCTAGGTTAATTATGCTAGGAAATGAAAACAAGTTCCCTCCTCTTCTCCCACTCTCCCAGTCCATTTCAACTAGTGTGTCATGGTCTTGCTCTTTTCTTTCTTTATCAGACATGAGGTTTTAGAGTCCAGGGTTGCATCAGGAATGACAAAATCACAGAGACTTCACATTCTCCATTGACTATGAGGCTGGGCCACATTCTTTCGAAGCCAGTGGGACCCTTGCCTAGACGTTGTGTCCGGCCTTAAAAAGGATTAAAATAGAAAATAACAGGAGTAGAAAGAGAAATTGGAATGACTTGGCAAACACTGCTCTCAGTGGGTATGGCTGAACCTGCAGCAAACCCAGTACAAGATTCAAAGCTGAGATCCACTGGTATTTTCCGCTGGATCTTCAAACTGTCTTTAGTTGTCAGAACATTTGGGAGCCATATGGTACTGACGGCACTTGCCACCGAGCTTGAAGTGCTGGAGATTCTGTTTAGGAACCAAAATAACATCTTTCTGGATACACTTCTCCAAGACCCAAATTGTGATACCCCTTCAAGCACCAGCCAGGGGCCCGTTAGGGCGCTTGTGTTTGAACATTTGAAGCAATTATTCATGTTCATCGAGCTCCGAATAGCTGCCAAACACCATGTGTTTTTCCTCAGCGTTAATAAAATCCTAAATGATTCTTCATTAAGAAGCCCATTAAGACGACTTCAGTTTCCTCGAAGCTCGTTAGAGGATATTCTCACCACTAAATTATCACACCGGAGTTTTATAGAAGGCTGAGGAAAGGTGCCCTATTGTGATTAATTCATGATAGATTTTCTCTCCCTTGCTTGCAGTCTGTTGCCCAGGCTTGGCTTTGCCAAGCTCTCAACCTTTGGGTTATGTGGCAGATAACAGTGATTCTTCAGCTTTGTTTCATGGGAAGGATGTTCCAGAGCTCAGAGGTGTTGAGCCTGACAGTGGTGATGGCCAGGAGGAAGCTGGCTGGCCAGTACATGGCCTCTGTTGGCACGTCTTTGTTGGAGGTCAGTGGGCCACCTCTTGCCCACTGTGACAAGTGGCATGTCTGCATGTGTTGCCTGGAGAACAAGGCTCCAGGCACCAAAGCACCACACTGCACCCATTAACCACACACCCTCCTGTAACTCTTCCATCTCCAAAGCATTAGGCTCAAGAGCAGCCCTTGCAAGGTGAAAATCTGAAGACAAAGTGGTCAAAACTATAGCAGAAGACAGAATCATTTAAACTAAGTCCATTCTGGGTCAATGTGTGTTCTCCCCACACCAGGTTCTCCTGAACCCAGTGGCAAGCTATAAGAGCTGTGGATCATTGCACTGTGGGAACACAGGCTGTTTTAACATAATAAAGCTTTCTAGCTGCTCTAATTTCCCACCGAGTATTAAAATCTCATTTTATGCTACATTATACACTTGGCCTTTTGAACAATCAGGGACCATAAACGGTGTTTGCATCCTGAAGCCAAATCTAGGGAAAGAACAAGAGATAATCCGTCTGGCTGGAGAGGATGGAGCGGGAAGGGCCAGCTCTGCACAATTATTGATGTCCATTCAGAGACACAGGAAAATGAAGGGCATTAACAGGGTTGCCAGGCCCTCCTCAGAATGGGGCTTTAAATGATATTGATGCGGTGCTAATAGGTGCACAGTTTATCTTTTATGTATTACAGCTCAGGGCCTGGAACAGGCACTTGGATAGCGAGCTTAGGCATATTCTGCCTCTTCCAGAGGATTTGGTTCTAGGGATTTGGAGCTTTCAAAAGCTGCACATTCTATCTGAACCGACAAGAGGGTCAGGGAGGTGACAGGAGTACCCACGTTGCTAATCTGAAAGTTGATCTGCAACTACTTCTGAAGTAGGATGTGTTAAGGCCCCTCTGGAGCTGTGTGTCCAGGCGTTTGGGGCATGTCTTCAGCTGGAGACTCTTGTGCTATGGTGATTTAAAGGGTTTGGTCCTTTGCTGGCTTCTGGTCCAGGGAATTTCTTCGTTTGATTCCCTAAGTTTTTGGGAAATATCTCCTATAAGAAACCACAGGAAACCCTCTGTCCACTCTTTCAAATGGTGGGGCTGCCCTTGTAAGGCTGCCTAAGAAATCTCTCCCACCTATAGATACAAATTCCTTGTATGTGGCCTTTCAGCTTTAATCTTCCCCAGAATCAGCTATTACATCAAGAGTGTGTGTGCTTATCTGCTGTCATCTTCGGAGGAAAAGGTGCCGAGATTGAAGGCAAATGCTGTTTATTCATTCAGCTCCTTCTGCAGCTCAGGCAGAACACTGATCTTGGCACGGAATTAGAGGAGGAAGGGCAGTTTGCTGTGATTTGTTGGCTTAATTTGACAGGCAATTTTCAGATCTGGATCAGAAAGTCATAGTGAAAGTTTTGGGAATGGCTGCGCTTGGGTTTAGCTTTGGGGGAGCAGAGTGTTGTTTTTACTCTAGTTTTGGAGGAAAGATGATGAGTTTTCAATAAGTCATTGCAGCTTTTAATGATTCACTTCTGGAATTGCAGTCTCAAGTGAAGCTAGCTGAGACCAGATACTAGCTGTGCTGTGCACTGCATGGAGCAAGCACAGTCGCACCCCAAAGAGCTCAGTTATACTAATAAACATAAAGAATAAATGAGGAAATTATCCAGTGAGTAATAAATCACAACGATGGAAGTATGTAACACCATTATTTTCTGATTCACTTCCAATCTGAGGGTGTGAATACACCACTTAGATCAGCTGAGTGAAGCTGGCCTGGTGTCAAAGAAGTTATTGGGCCACGTCTGTGCGATGGGCAAATCAGTGCAATGAACTTATGCATGGGGTAGTTCACAGCATCTGTTTCTTAAGGGAAAACCTTCTCCAGATGCCTTGGGGAAAACACAAGCCAAGACTATTTGATAGCAACTCTGAAATCCAGGCAGATCTGGGCACGTGCTGCTCATGTTTTCTCTCTCCCTCCCTCTCTCTTTTCCTCTTCATGAGCTGAGATCATTATTTCTGTGCATCGTGGTTCTAAAGTGAACATCCCTGATACCAGCTCTGCCTCTTATCATGAGGCAGCTGCAAAATTGCTTTCAGATTGTTTTACAATCGGGTTTTGCATTGAGCAAGGCAGAAATGACACAAGGAAAGCATTTGGGAAGGAGGGAGCAGAGAGGAGGCCAAGAGGTTGAGACTAGGGACACTGAAGAAATGAAAAGAGGGATGAAAGATGCTGTTTTCAACAGGAGCTCATGGCTCACAGCAGAAGGGATGGGTTCCTTAACCTTTCAGAGTGAGAAGCACCTGGTGTTCACAAGCGTTGCTGCTGCCCTGTGCTGTGCAGAGCCTAGCACATGGTTAGAGAGGATGTGAAGTACTACAGGAAGGCCAATATCTTTGTGCCTGTAATATCGGCCCACACACCGTGGTTAAAATCAGTTGAGTTGATTGGGACAGGCCCAAAATCCATCTAACCTGGTATCTTCTCCTCCAACAGTGATAGAAAAAGGGAATCGTAGCCATCGTGGAAGCAAGTATGGAACCAAGTAAGAAATGAAAGCCCCCAGGTGAAATTGTGTCCTCTGAGAAGTGGAAAGTAATTTTTCTGCTGACTGCATCCACCACAGTTCCACTCTCTCCCATCAGATGCTAGGCCATAATCAGCAGCGCTGCCAAGGTATTTCCTTGAAGTGCAATAAAACCAAAATACTATCTGATCCAGCATTTCTGATAGCAGTGACTTTGTTTAAGCAACTTTATAATGAATCCTAGTTCTTCTCCCAATAGATGCCTTTGCTATAATATCCTCGAGTAGCAAAGGAGTAAAATAAATCAGCTTTTACAAACTCATAAACACATAGAAGGGAATGTAAACCAATTTCTGATCTAGCTGAGGTGCACTGAGATTTCACCGAGTGGCATGAAGCTTGAGTGGGTTCTGAAATTGCTCTTGAGCCTGTGAATTCATCTCTCCTTTCCTCTGCCAACAGGGATGTTGCTCTTAACCCTTCGAAGGCTGTCCATGCATTCACATGTTCTTCTGGTCTCTTTCTCTGTATGTGTGTACTGTATTCTCTTGTGTAGCTATGTGCAGGTAAACCCAAGTATGCACACATGCAATCTCCCAGGGCATTTTAAGACAGCAAGCTGAGAGAAACCAGATTATCTTCTTGTGTCCTCAACCCAACAAGGATATGGCCCTGTAAATAAAGAAGATACCACTGTACGGGGGGAAAAATGAAGGAGAGCACTGATTTAGGTAGAGAAAAGACATCTGCACTGTCTGGTGCAGATGGTAGCACAGAAGAGGTCCTCAAGGGCCTGAGGAGACAGACTTGCAGCTCCTAGAGCCATGCCAAGAGACAGTCCCCAACCTTTTTGAAGCACGTCTCTTTCCTTCATTATTTCAAAGTAAAGATTTAGCAGGTAAAGGGGTGTTTCTGCTCTCAGGATGCTTCCCACATCCCCTTCTATGCTAGGGCATAATGAAATACTTCTTAGTTTTATTTGTATTCCTATTAAGCCCATTGCCTGACCTGGCTGTAACTGGGGCTGGACACAGCCTAGAGCAGGGACCAGGGAAGACAGCAGCAGCAATGCAGCATCCAGAACACGCATCCGGTCTGAGCTCAAAGCAGAGCCCGTCACACTCAAGGGAAGCTTATTCTAGAGCCTGCTGCTGCATTCAGTATTTGGAGAAGAGTCCAATTTGCTGATTGTGCTGGTGGGATGTGAAAGGCAGGATAGAGTTTTACTGCAAAGCAGTTGACCTTGCTCCACAGATATTGCCGATACACAGCTGCTATTCAGCGCTTCAGAACACTGTAGTCATTATGTGAATCTGTCTGCTAAGAGCAGCAATTAGACTTCAGAGCATTATGGTCTGCCTGCCTAAAGAAAGGGCACATACAGGTGGGAGGATGGGGGCAGTTCTCTCTCTGTCTCAGTTGGTGGGAGAGCTCTGGAGAACACACAGAGTGTCCTGTGCTGTCATTGAGGATCCAGGCAATGACTCTTCCCCGCTCCAAACCAGTTGAAGAGAGGGTGACAAATGTGGTTCTATAGGTGGCTCAGCGGGATGGGAGTTTGCAGTGGCAATCTCCAATGGTGAGACCAGTCAGAGAGGGGTTAAATAGTAGAACAAATCCTATGGACTCTTCCAAGCTCTCCTTACTAACATCCTTGGTTCCTTCAACAAGATCTGCCGACGTGCAGAGGTGGCAAAGGGGCAGTCTCCCTCTAGCAAGAAGTTATGAGGCTAATCTCAAGGGCTGTTGCAATATAGGATGCTCAAGAGGAGGGAGGGAGGACAGGGAAGGATTTTGTTCTTACTGGTAAGCTGTAATTATGCTGCAAGTCTGTATCACTGATTACACTTGTTCTGCTTGTACAGCACAGGGCTGGTGGCTTGTTTAACAATGCACAGCACATTGTTCCTGCTCCAGCCCTTAACGCCACAAAATTGATATTGCTTTTCCACGAGCAGCGAGATAAGACATGCGCTTAGTACACAGTCAGGGCCATGATACCATCGCCACACGGGGAAATTAAAAGTCTCCACATGGCACCAAAGCCTCTCTCCCCTCCTCAGCACATCGTTGGGCAGCACAGAACTTAGAATCATAGAATCATAGAGTAGTTAGGGTTGGAAAGGACCTTAAGACCATCAAGTTCCAACCCCCTGCCATGGGCAGGGACACCTCACACTAAACCATATCACCCAAGGCCTCATCCAACCTGGCCTTGGACACTGCCAGGGATGGAGCATTCCCAACCTCCCTGGGCAACCCATTCCAGTGCCTCACCACCCTCACAGGAAAGAATTTCCTCCTTATATCCAACCTAAACTTCCCCTGTTTAAGTTTGAACCCGTTACCCCTTGTCCTGTCACTACAGTCCCTAATGAAGAGTCCCTCCCTAGCATCCCTGTAGGCCCCCTTCAGATACTGGAAGGCTGCTATGAGGTTCCCAGCAGGAATAGTAAAGAGGACAGCAAGCAAGAGGGGATATGGCAGTGAGGGACACCTTTAGGCTGCAGGAAAGGGGGGAACTCCTTCTGTACAGGAGGGGAGTTGAAAACCAGTAGAACCCAATAGGAAACCAGCTGGATCTCAAGGCCATCAGGGAAGTTGAAGTCCCTGTAGCTTTAGGCTGAGCAATGAACATCTTTTCTGCCCTCCCCATGGCAGTTCTCCAACGAATACTCTTTAGCTGGGCACATAAGTGAAGAGTGTTTGTACAGCAGAGGGCAAGGAGCTGTCGTGTGCTACACTTGGGAATAAGGGAACTGGAAGGAGAATAGTAAGCATGAGATTGCCTCTGACAGGCAGACACAGCGGCAATTTTTGCACTGAGATGCATTTTGTCCTTCACTGAAAAGTGCTGCTTTGTTGG